GCAGAATAAAATAGACATTATTATTGCTGTGGGTATATACGTGACTGCATGACCAATGTAATTCTGCAACCTGTACACTCAGAAAAATTAGAAATTATATCCCATCTGATTCAAATGTATGATATGTTGAGATCATTGTACTGTCATGTGTAACTAATTAAAACAAATTAAAAAATAGTGTTAAAAAAAAAAGGAAGTGTGTGGTGGAGGAAGGCATTTGGGAGCATGGCATCAGGAGGTAGAGAGAGAGAGGGAGAGACCCGGTAGTTTTGCTCAACAAGGACAAAATATATACCCTAAAGGCAATCCTCCACCCTACCTGTCTACAGTTACCACTCAGTTAATTCCTAACCCCGACATTTCATCTCTAAACCATCTTGCATTATCTCACACATGAACTTTCTGAGGACACCTCACATTTAAACTGTAATAGGAATTCAGCTCTGCAATCTATATAGAAAAAGCACCCAAAGCCCAGTCTTCAAATGGCTTCAAAACATCCAGAAGTGCTTCTTGTGTCTAGTGGGCCTGTAGGCAAGATGTGCCTGCCCATGAGGATGTACCACCAGCCACTCAGCTACAGTGATGTCATTGAGAATCCTAGGCTCAGGATTTCTGCATCTAACATATGCAGCAATTCTAGAGTGCAAGTGTGATCACCTTACCAGGGTATAAGAAGGAGAGGCCTATGAATTGTCCCCTGCCATGACCATTGACAGTGTGGACAATGTCCAGGTAGTGAAGGCTAGAACTACCCATATCATCATGAATTCTGCAATCATGAAGCAAATCAGGAAAGCTCTCAGCATTATCAACAATAGGCATCACTGAGAGGTAGTGGCTGCACTTTCCACCAGGGCCTTATCACCCGGAAGACCCAAGGGCTTTCAAATGGCAGAAGTACTCTGTAAACTGAAGTTGCAGGGCAGAGAGAGATCAAAAGAAGAGAAGCAGCCTATATCTACCCAGTTCACCATCATCAGTATTCCATTCTTTCTCTGCACAGGGGCCCAGAGGCTGATTTACTTCTGGTTCCTCTAATGCCTTACCTGGCCCATATTCTAGCATTATGGGTCCTGGAAGTGGGTTAAGGACAGAAACTTGTCAGATCAATGGAGGCACTATCGATTAGTATCCTCTCTCAAGTCTGGTTCTGGAGGTTTTGCCATGTAGGCCTACCAGGAAGCCCGGAAACCCTCCAGTGGAGCTGATCTGTGTCTGGGTCACTGAAATGACCGAAGATCCAGCAATTTTCTAACTACCCAAGATGGACATAACTGGTGATAGAAAGGAAGAAACAGCCCCTACAGGCCTATAATCTCAAATCCTGTTTTGGGTGTGCTTTGTAAGTTCACTTGGCATCTAGAGCTCTCTCAATTCCAGGGACGCTGGATGGGGATTTCTTAACCTTATCTTGGCTGTGATATAGGAAAGGTATATTTTTAAGAACCTCTTAAACTGAGGCCCCGGCTAAAGAAATAATTTTTTTTAATTTTTCATTTTTGGAAATGTTAGTACAAAGCTTGTCCTAATTGAGCTACACTCCTGCCTCTCAGACACTAGTTTTGCCTCTTCTTTCTTGTACCTTAAAGTAAGACTAATTTAATGCCAGTTTGAAAACTCCCTAAGGGAGGAAATTGATTCTACTCATTTGAAGAAGATGATATGTACAGTTGTAGTCTTGATTTGATATTTATGTGAAATTAGTTTCATAGTAGTTTGATTTCCTTTTTCAGGTCAGGGCCTAAAACTTGTTTTTGTTTTTGCGCAGGGAGAAATGAAAACATTCACAATTTTTCATGAAAGCATTTTTCACCAAAAGGTACATGCAGCACGTATCTTACAAAGGAAAGGGAATCAAGAAACTGCCTTTGTATTCTCCTCATGTGTACATGTATAGTCCCTGTCTTGAACACTATCTCAGATACCTTTTGTTATTTGTTTTGGATACTATCTTATATAAGGAGCTGACCTCATTGAGAAGCCTAGAGTCTAAAATTATCAGGACAATTTATTGTCTTCTGTTATGTCTTGTTTTGACAGCAAGAATTTTTATTACTTTTAAAAAAAGAAGGAAGAAAGAAAAAGCTTTAGCAATAAAGTATCTTTACAGATATTCCACCATATTTATGTATAAGTACATCAGTTAATTACATTCTTAGACACAGAATTGCTGGGTCAGAGAAAGGTGCATTTAAATTTTTTGGTAACCATTCTCCCCACCCCCATACAAGAATGTTATAATTCACTCCC